CTCCTCTCCATTTCTCTTCTCTCCATTTTTCCCAAGTTCTAGCTTGGATTGGAGACACATGTCATAGTTTAAAATTAATAATTGAGATCTAATTGTTTAAAGTAAAGTCATAACCATAGTTATTTACTTTCATATATTTGCTTCTTAAATATTTTTGCAATCCATTATATTTTTTCTAAATATATTTAGAAAAATTCTTTACTGCCCTGCATATACATATAAAACTTTTACTAAATATTTTTACTTCTTTGAAAAAATTTACAATAAAGTTAAAACGTTTTTATTATTCTAATAGAGTATTAAGAGCTACAATGTCTATAGAGCAATATGGACTCCATTTAGGGAGTAAGAAAGAATTTAAAGTTGAGTGACAATTTATTTTAATTCTAAAATTAGAAAAAAAAATGTTAGGTCACAATTTTTAATATTTTATTTGACAAATATTATTTGAGAATGGCAAACGTTAGGGAAAAAAATAAAAATCAGCAAAAAAATTACTCAAGTAATTAAGAAAAGAAATTCTTTTAAATATATTTAGGAAAAATATAATGTAAATCTAGGATTTTTGGATTGCAAAAATATTTAAGAAGCAAATATATGGAAGCAAATAACTATGGTTAGGACTTTACTTTAATCATTTAGATCTCAATCATTAATTTTAAACTATGACATATATCTTTAATCCAAACTAGAACTTGGGAAAATGGAGAAAAGAGAAATGAAGAGGAGGGATCCTTTTTCTTTTATAAAAGAAATATTACTTGTGAGAGTCTGTTGGGCCCGTGCTAGCACGGGCCACGCCCCTCTAGTTAAATAAAGAAGACATTAATATATGTTGTCAGAGATTTATGCCTAGTAGTAATTGCTAATTAATGAAGTGTTACTCACATAGGAATAATTTGGGATAATTTATGAAATGTTGTGGGATTAACATCTTCATAGATAATGTTTTTCCAATTTTCTGAATGAGAAGTTGTATCACCCTCAATATTTATACCCCCAAAAGAGATCAGATCTATTGAAATTTATCTTCTTACAATCTGTTTGGATCATTGTTACCCATTATTTCATAATGTACTATATTGTACCGTATTGTATGGTAGATGCAATATTTAGCTAGACTGTATTATTTGTTGTTGTTTAATAAGATTTTTATTGTTTGATTTGACTTTATCATACTGTATTGCAATTTATAAATTTACTAAAATATTCTTAATTTTTCTAGGGTAGGAGGTTTGACTAGAATTAAATAATATAGGGTAAAGGGTAAAAAAATATTATGAAATATTATGCCATGATATAATTGGAAAAAGAAATTAAGTAACAATGGGAACACACCAAAATCGGTTGTTCCATAAAATGGGGGTTTCCATTGTTATGTAACAACGAAATTTAACAATACAATACAATACATTTTAAGTAACAATCAAAACAAACATTGTAGGTATGGTAGCGATACAATACAATACAATGAGTAACAATGATCCAAACAGAGTGTTACTAACCTGAATTAAGTCATACTTATTACTCCCTCTGTTCCTAATTACTTGTCTACTTTTGAATTGACACACATATTAAGAAAATAATTAATGACATAATGAGTTTACCATTTTACCCCTATTAATTATGAAGTGGATGAAAAGTTCTACATTTTTCAAAGTAATTAGTCATTTAATTGAGGGTATAATAGGTAAAAACAAATTGTCCTTTCTTGATTTGTCAAAATGGACAAGTAATTAGGGACAATTATAAAAAAAAAAAAGTGAACAAGTAATTAGGGACAGAGGGAGTACCACCAAAGACTACTTTTTTTTTCTTTAAAACTACCATTAACATCATTCTTTCAGTATGATTAGTCACCAATTCCCAAACCAACAAATTGTTTAACCACCAAGTACAACCTATCATCTTAATACATCTTATGAAAACTTTTATGTCTTCTATCATATTATATGTGATAGCTAATATCAAGATACAACAAAATGTATGTCAAGTCAAAAAGTTGTAGTCCTCAAGTAAAAAAATACCTATAATATATGAAGTAGACATACTCACAAACTCATTGATAAAGAAACTAAAACAAAAGGTCAACTATGCATCTTAATAAAGAAAGTAGAACTATTAGCATATGATCATAAAAATTCTTATTATTGCTCCTTGTCCTCGTCAAGTTATGTAATCATCTTTCAAATTTGAAATTTAATTGTCGAAAATCATTCTATTCTTTCTTGTTATCAATAAAAAGAAACTGTCTTTTAAAATTATCCAGGTGATAATATTTATTCAGGTTGTAATTGTCACACCCCTTTTTGATCGCGGATAGGGTTTTTCCAATTAAAGTGACGGTATTGATTAGAGATTATTTTTATCTTTTAGAGTCGCCACTTGGAATTGAGTTAAGGTGTTCCAAGTCACCTTTTTGTTTAATCCCTAATCAAAGGAAATGACTCTTTATATGGTCTGCGAATTAGAAATTCGCGTAAGGAATTCTGTTGACCGAGGGGAAGGTATTAGGCATCCTTCGAGTCTCGTGGTTCTAGCACGGTCACTTTTATTGACTTATACTTATCTTAATATATTTTTGGATAATTTGTATCTACAGGCCATGGTTTGCTTTTTTTTTATTATTGTTGAATTTTTATTAGTCTGAACCTAGATGCGTACGTAACCGCATTCTTCGTCTTGACATTTAGAGACATAACTATCTTCTTTGCATCACACTTAATACTTTTATTTATAAGTCTCTACTTTGAGTCTTTTTAATTCATAGGGAATATGAAGCTAACCTGCGAACATGAGGGGAGAAGTTTCTAATACCACAGAACACCTACAGTATGAAAATTCATTTTTTTTTATTGCATCGCTTGTGTCAGTGTCAATGATCTTTTAACTTTTCAATTTTAGAGGTGAATCACACCTGAAAATTAAAACATATTTTCTAAGATCAATTTCTGACTATGGAGCTTACTCATCCATCATTTCTATCACCCTTAATTAAGAATTTGTATCAACTTTAAAAGCAAGTACATAGTTTATTTAATTGGACGAATAGAAATGGAATGTAAGCAATAATACCTTGTTGCACACAGTGCAAAGTCTACCTTTGGTAATAGATTAATATTCTGTAAATTCATTTCTAATTATTTTTTACCTATAGATGGTAAATTATAACTACTGTTATAAACAAATTCAATTTTCTAGTAGTAGTTCAATCCCAATAGAAAAAAAGAAGAGAAGAGATTAATTAAGAGTCCCTCACAAATTTCTACAAATTCACTAAGATGCATGTGCCCATCACCTAGAGAGCCTAGGATTACTTGATGTTAATAAAATGTTAAAAGTAACAAACCTGGGCCACATCATTACAATTAATGATAAAAGTGTATATTATATTAGTTAAACCACAATTTTGATCATGAATTTCATGTGATTATCCATTTTTTAGACAGACAAATAACAGATGTCAAATATGTTTTGTTTTATGAGGAAATACACGTAGAATAACGTTGACTTGAAGTTTCAAATTCCTAATGATGACTAAATATATGATTATAAAAAATTAAAGGAAAAAAACTTGGAGCAAAGCAACAATACTATTGAACCCCTAATACTTCCTCCGTTTCACAAAGAGTGACCTGGTTTGATTTGACATGAAGTTTTTTAGAAAATAAAAAAGACTTTTGAATCTTGTAGTCTTAAATTAAAGTTATGTCAAATATACTAAAT